AAAGATGAAAATGAAATTGCGCTAGCCAACTCAATGCCTAAATACTTCACAGACTCTTTTCTCTTGATTGCTTGATTATTGTGTGTCACTTTGAATTCAAATGACTTTTTAGAACTACTTTTAGAACAAAATAAAATGCTTTCTGTTTTTCCCAAGTGTAAAGAAAGCTTATTATCAGTCATCCAATCGACACACGTAGACAGCTGTTCACTGAGTTTTTCCTCAATATATTTAGGATCAGGATTTGAATAGAGTAGTACGCTGACATCTGCGTACAATAATAGTTTGAAGTCTTTTATACAAATACACATATCATTTATATAACTTGAAAATAGAATTGGGCCTAAAATGCTTCCCTGAGGAACACCGCAAGTTATAGGCATTAGTTTGGAACGAATATCATGATTGGCCACTACTTGGTGCCGATTAGATAAGTAGGATCTAAACCAATCTAAACTTGCCTTATCAAAACCCATTAGTTGTAACTTCTTCAATAAGACGCAATGATTAACTGTATCAAAAGCTTTTTGCAGATCAAGGAGCACCATACCAACAAAGCGCCCTTGGGAAGTTTCTCTCCTCAAATAATCAGTCAAATGAATTAGACATGTTTCAGTCGAATAATCATGTCGAAAACCAGATTGAAATTCATAAATTATATCATTTTCTTTGAAGTATCTTTCAATTTGAACACAGACCGATTTTTCTAGAATCATGAATCATTATTGTAACTCCGGAGGTGAGTCTCACCTCCCTGTTGATATTTTACACCTGGGCCCCGTCTTACAAAGAGTTGCAACTTATTTGCGACTCTGTACGATGATAAGAGATAGCAGACCGCAAACTTGCGATTGATTGGAGGACTTACAATTGATTTGGTTGTTTGTAAGACAGGGCCCTGCATGGCCAGGCGCGTAGCCAGGGGGCGGTGGGGGCGGTGGGGCGGTCGCCCCCCTCCCCCCCCCCCCAAAAAAAAAACGCCGGCCAAGAAAAAAAGAGAGAGAAAGAGAAGAAAAAAGAAAGAAAGAGGACGTAGGAAGAAAAAGGGAAAAGGAGTCGAGAACGGTACAACGAATCGTCAAAGCTTCCGCGCTTTGCGCCGGAAGGGTGAAACTGAGTTCAAATTAAGGATTAAGAGTCGGGAAAGGTACAACGAATCGTCTTCTTTCTATAATAATTAAATGAAACGTCAAAGCTTCGCGTGAGAGGGGGACTGAATACAGACAAGGATTAAGAGTCGGGAAAGGTACAACGAATCGTCTCCTTTCTCTAATAATTTAATGAAACATCAAAGCTTCGCGCGAGAGGGGGAGGGACTGAATTCAGACAAGGATTATGAGTCGAGAAAGGTACAACGAATCGTCTTCTTTCAAAGCTTCCGCCTCCCTGCACCCACCCCTAGGGAGCGCGATTCACGCGATCTTTAAGACTGATTCGCACGCTTCGCGTGCTCACTACCGCCCCCCTAAAATGAAATCCTGGCTACGCGATGGTGCATTGCTAAAAGATTGATACACAAGCCTGACATATGGTTTGCATTGGTTTAGACTTAGTTCATGAGCCTGGCTCCCCTGACTGCACTTACGCGATTGGCGTATTCTTTGAAGAATTGTTATAGAGACAGTTTAACTGTGATGAGAACTTGACAACCTTTACTCCTTTAGTACGTCACTATCGACTTCGTTAAAATAATCGTTTGAAAAACATCATACATGGTTGGCCTGTTATTGGAGCCAAATCAATATCAGGGCAAATTGAGCGGGCCCTGGAACCCCGGCCGACAGGGACTTCGTGCATCGTGCTTGTGATTTCAGGATGACTGGATGAGTGCTTCAACGCCCCCCCCCCCCCGGCAGTGGCGGATCCAGGGGGGGGGGGGGGGCCCGGGGGGCCCGGGCCCCCCCCCCCCCCCTTGAGAAAAAAATCATGTAAAATCACGTGATTTTTACCTTTTTGGGGGGTTGGGCCACCCCCCCTGGCGCTCAAAGGGGGGGTGCAAATTGAAATTTTTTTGAGGATAAAAAAAAAAAAAAAAAAATGTGCTCACTACCCCCCCCCCCCCCCCCCCCCCCCACTGAGCGACTTTTCGGCCGGCGCGATTTTCAAATTTTCGGGAGCAAAAAAAAAAAAAGTTGGGCTCCCTCCCCTAAGAAATCCTGGATCCGCGCCTGCCCCCCGGCCCCCACATCAAAAAATCATCTGTAGTATACGCCTGTGATCTACAATGTCTATTTTATCAGGAACCTATAATCTACAAGCACCGCTTTTTAATAGGTTCCCCCGGTAGGTTCCTCATATTTTACTTAATCTGCCATGTGAATTGAGTATCCTTGTAACGTGCTTATATAACATAATACATTATATGCCTTCTATTTCATGTGTCTGTCTATATTTATTGTTGAATGTAGAGGGGAAAAAAGAAACGTGAAAACTTAAAATGCAAGGAAACCCCAGATGTTTTAAAGCTAGGATATCGAAATTCACGATATTGGATAGAATAACCCCCTCAAACACCCTCTCCTGTTCGGTTGCTTCGCTACCTCACGGGGTCACATTAATGATGCCATCCAATTTTAAAACACAACCCTTTAAAAAACATCCTGCGTACGCCACTGATTGCAATAATGTACGTGTGTGGTGGCAGGGCTGGCGGTGCCCTCCCGGCCTGTGGTAGCGACGTTCCCGAACAATAACTATATTAAACAAATACTTACCTATGTATTTTGATGATTAAATGACATTTACGAGAGGAAAAAAAAGTTTTTTTTTTTTTGGGGGGGGGGGGGGCTCTCGAAAATTTTAAAAATCGCACCCCCCCCCCCTTGAGCGCCAGGGGAGGGGGCCCATCTCCAAAGGTAAAATTAACGTGTTTTTACTTGGTTTTTTCCCTGGGGAGGGGGTCCGGGCCCCCCGCCACCCCCCCCCCCCCCCCCCCCCCCCCCTGGATCCGCCACTGGTTACAACAATATCATTACCAGGATTATACACATTGCCTAACGCTTTATAAAATAAATGCAAATAAAACATTTAGACGTATGATCCTATCACTCATCCGTTCAATATAAAACTAAAAACAAAATGTTTAAAGTCCAAAGGTTGATGGGGAAACACGACTTTGGCGACCGAGTCAAAAATATTAGTGTCTATTTGAGTCAATATACAAAGTCATAGAAAATATAAGCATACACTGGGAACATACCAGGGTAGGCTTACCCCGATATATCAGATATCCTTATTCTAGTAACATGCAAAGAACTGTTGTATTTATCAATACGTGTCTTTGCATAATTAGACGGCCTGCTAAATAAACCATCTTGTGCACAGCTGATTAGAAAATATGGTCCGGAAAGTGGTATTTGCGTTCCCTCTCGTTTTAAGCATCCTGCTCTGTTCTGTTGAGAGTAGAGGAACACCCTTCGTGGACACCCAGAATGGTCGAATCTTGGGTAGGACCATCGAAGTCACACCTTGGCAGATTCCAGATAGTGAGACCATTGTGGTGGAGGCATACACCAAGATCCCTTATGCTGAGTCTCCGGTTGGAGAGCTGAGGTACAAACATCCTGTCAAGAAAGTTTGGACGGGAGAGGTAGACGCCACCAAACCAAACGTTGCTTGCCCTCAAGTCCCTTTGATAGGATTCACTGTAGAAATGGAAGAGACAGAGGATTGTCTGTACTTGGATGTCTTTGTGTCGTCACCACGGGCAAGTATAGGAACACAGAAATCGAGTAACACCTTTATCATTGAACAGCGGGGTATCCTCAAAGGACAGTGTATAGGCCCGTATCCGGACACCTACCCCCTAGGAGTCCCTAGGGTAACCACCCTCTAGGTCGACTACCCCCGGGACAACTACCCCCTATACGACAACCATCCTCTAATACAACTTCCACCGGACAACTATCCTAGGGGGGTAGTTGTCCGGGGGTGGTTATCGCGGGGGTAGTCATCCTAGCGCAGTGGCGTACGCAATTTTTTTTCAAAGGGGGGGGGGGGGGGTTAAAATCGGGCCAAAAATTTCGCAACGACTCAGCCAGCCGATTCAGCGGGGGGGGGGGGGGGGGGGGGGGGGGGGGGGGGGGGGGGGGGGGGGGGGGGGGGGGGGGTGGGGGTTAAAGTCCCTTTTTTTAGGTCAGCCATTGCCATAATTTTGTTTTGTTTTGTTTTTGTTTTTTTAAATAAAAACAAACAAATCAAAAGGGGGGGTTCCCCCCAAAAAAACGCAAAACATACACATAACAAAAACTCAAGGGGGGTTTAAACCCCCCCCCCCCCACCTGCGTACGCGCCTGTCCTAGAGGATGGTTGCCCTAGGGGGTAGTTGTCCTAGGGGGTAGTTGACAGGAGGTGGTTATCTGGGGGTGAATGTCCAGGGGTAGATGTCCTAGAACCATATAAAGACGTTGATCATGATCAGTGGACTATAGTCAAAATGAAGACATTAGATGGAATTTGGTAAAGTCTTGCTCAAAATATTTAAAAAAAGAATGCAGACTATAGTCCACTGATCATGATCAACGTCTTTATATACCTCCAATCGATTCGAGAGACACTTGAACATCCAATAGTCCTGTAATAAACAACGTATCATGTAAGATGAATGTGCTTCCTATACTGCGTTTGTCCTATCCCCCACCCCCCTCCCCTCCATGCAAACAGTTTTTCTACAGATTTTATTGACTTGCTGGGAAACAAATCAAAAATACAATTAAATCTACAGGTACGTCTTCAACAATAATATTATTATCAAAAGTTTTCTCCTTTTTTATATACATTTTTTACGAAAATATCTTCAGCTATAGTACTCATACTTATAATAAGAACCAAACCTTTAAACAAAAATTGTCAAAATATTACAGCCCAAGTCAGCGGCTGTGATGGTGTGGATTCATGGAGGAGGGTTTCGCGCAGGTGCAGGATCGGTACCTGAACAACTTCCTATACCATTATCATTTTATGGAGAAGTCATTGTCGTCACTTTCAATTATAGACTTGGA